AGTTTATTTATGATAGTTACGTGCTATGGGTGCGCACATGTGTGGGGTTTGAGCCTATGTGCGAGCACTGGGTATTTATCCATGCTCGAGGTAGTGCTTAGGCTATGACATGCCGTGAATTGATTGTTAAGCTTTATGCTGTGATGTTTCTCCTATTTGTACCTTGTTGTGGACTATTTGATCCATATTTGAGGTTACATAGAGGCTAATTCCCTTAATGAATTTGTTAGTTGCTATTTCCGTGATGAAATTGCCGATTGGAGCTATGATAGAACACTTTGCACATGCATACATTTTAGCATGTCATTTATACTTGTCCATGAGCAAGAAATCTTATATTCATTGATCATATATATGTATTCTTGTATATTTTCTTCTGTGTGATATGATTTGGACTGGATGCATGTGACCACACCGGGCGGGTTGTGTTGTAATGCCTGTAACCACGCCGGCAGATTGTGTTGTTATGCCTGTGACTACGCCGGGTGGATTGTGTTGTATGCATGTGACCACGCCAGGCAGATTATGATGTTGAGCCTATGACCACATTGCGCTGATAGCACGTTGAATTGGCCATGCTGCATGTGGATATGGATCTATCCTCCTAGGGTCACCCTCTCATATTTCTATCTTGATTGAGTACACGCGGATTTAAGGAAAACTGATCAGTGGTTTAGTATGGATATGGAAATACTGAGTAAACTCTGGCGAATGTTGTTTGGATTTTGTATTTCATCTTTACTTGCAATTTTCTTGGATAATTAACTGAATTACTTGCATATCATCTTTATACGTTGAATGTTTGACTGAGTAGAGTACTTGAGTAATTTTGCACACACACAGATAGTTCTTTCTGTGCTTTATGACTTGATCACATTATTGTCATGTACTTGTGGAATTTATGAACTGAACAGGTTATAGCAAGTATCATTTATAATTCTTGCTTCTTTTACCTCGTGGAGGTTAGTTATGATACTTGCTGAGTACATGGGGTCGGTAGTACTCATGCTACACTCTGCACTTAATTGTGTAAATCCAGGTGTCTGACCCAGTCATCGGTAGCGGAGTTGCTTGTTGAGTTGATCATCAAGAGACGAGGTAGAACTGCATTCTCGACCGCAGTCTTGGCGTCTCTTTTCTTATGTATTGTTGTCTTTATTTCAGACTTGTATTGTATTTGGTCATTTCAGACTTGTATTTTTTTATATTACAGCTTATGGCTCTGTATTTACTAGTTCTGGGAGATTTTATTATGTATTGGCGGTATGGTGCTATATCAAGATTTCAGACTCATGTTATTTTTAGTCATTTCTACTATTATGGTTCATTATTATTATGTCCGACTTGCCTAGCAAGTGTGTTAGGCGCTATCACGTCAGGTTAGGTTTTGGATCGTGACAAATATTAGCTTTTGTAGTCGTTTGGAGGCAAGGAGGTTAGCTTATAATGGTTGAAAATTAAGGTCATGAAGACAAATTTTAGCAAGAAAAGAGGGAAGAGAAGAAGATTAAATTGATACCTAAGCTGAACAGTGCATGTTGTTGTTGATCAGGCACTCAGCAGAATGAGAATCCATTTTTTCCAATCTTTATCTGTGGCCAGAGGTTTCAGGCAATTGGCGACCTCCACTAGTAGGTGGCACTCATTCGAAATCGTGAGAATGTCACTGCATTTTCCAGTAGGGTTTTGAATGGATGCCGGGTAAGTATTCCCTAAATTCCCGTGGTCGGATGACCATAGGGAGTGAACATCTTCTGTTTGTTCGATTAGGGCCGGTAGAGAGATAGCAGTTGGTGTAGAAGTTGTTGAGGTTACGGTTGCTGTAGAAGTTGATGGCGGAGGAATGTCAGGAGTAGAATTCCTCTAAACGGAAGCGACGACAGGCGATCGGAAATGAGATTAATCATTTTCAACTATATCCATTTCTGTGAAGAATCCTTGAAGCTCTCCCGGTTGAGGTGCTTGAGGTTCTCCCGGCTGAATATCTGGTTGAGCTGATGAGGAACTTTTTCTTCTTTGAAGGTGAACTGCTTCATCATCAGTTCCTTCTTCATCAAGGATCACTGTGGCTGGTCCAGTTGGAGCTTCTTTTGTTGAAGTTTTCTTCCGAGTCCCAGCCGTAGAGGTACGTCTTCTCTTCGGTTTCTTATCTTTGCACTGGGGACTCCCGGAAGAGACACCTTTACCGGAAGCAAGGGCGACTTCATGAGCCCTCTTCTATTTAAGGATATCTTGCAATTGTTGTTGAGCCTCCTCTGGGTCATTAGAGACGAGAACAACGGGGCAGATGGAAGACCCCTTCGGAAGGCCTATGTATTATGAAAAGGAGTCAGTTATTGGTTCTAAATCATGTTGAAGGCTTAAAAGGAAAAAAACTTTTACCATGGTTTTTGGCTTTCCAATTAAGTCGAGTCCGGTGTGGAAACGTCTAGAATTTTCTGTACCCATTAGGCCAGGTTATTAACCGATGGTGGTTCCAATGAGTAGCTGGAATAAGGATAATAAAAGTTAGCAAAGGAGGAAATTTTCTTTAAACGTGATAAGGAAAAGATAACTGAAGACTTACGATCAAAATTCCAAGATTCGAGAATAGAATGGGATGTTGCCGGGAGAATGTCCCTGGTAGAAATGACACCGAAATTTTCCATCTGACCACGATCATTGTCATCGTCGACGCTGGTAACAATGGCATGGTGGTCGCGTTTGTTGAGTTTAAGCACACCTCCACGAAAGTTCTTCGGGGAGCAGAGGTTGATTAAACGTGCGAGAGCGAGGGTTTCCCAGCCTCGGAGCACAGTTTTCGAAGGCAAGCCACCGTATGGCATATCGATGGACTCACCTGAGCCAAGAAGATTTGGTATCGGTGGAAAAATTCTAAAGTTATGGGATCAATTTCTTGACTCAATTTTAAAGTAAAAGAGCATGTGTAAACATACATGAACCCTGGTTTGCTAAAGGCGATTCTTTCCACCTCATTGGGGGCAAAGATTTCAATGTTATTTCAATTGAAATCTTCCTTTACAATAGGAATGCTAACACAGTGAATAAAAGAAGGGTATCGACGGAGAGACCAATTTTTGTTATTATTGGAGTTGATAGTTTCCCTTTGAACTTGAAGGTCCGATTGGGAGTTGAGTTGGGAAGGTATGATGGAGTTAACGGTAGGAGGCTCAGATTTAACATCGGTTTCCTTCATTTTTTCCTTCTTAGGGCCACCACCGATGAGAATGCCAAAGTTTTCGAGAGCAGAAGTGATAGAAGACATGATGGTAGAAAATCTGGGTAAGAAAGTTTTACTGAGAAAGTAAGGTTTTTCAGTAGGGTTCAAAGGAAATTCGAAGAAGAAGAAGAGTTTGTAAAAGTGAAAGGTAAAAGTGATGAGTAGTGGAGAAGTTTATAGACGGCAAAATTTATGGTCATGGTTACCTTGAAAACTGGCAAAAATATTTGCCGAATTACAGGATAACACGTGTTCGGGTCATTAAATGCAAGAAGATGTGCGTCCTTTCAAGTGTCAGAAACCGTTTAGGAACTTTCCCGCGCAAGAAAAAGGGTCTTATCTACTTTCCGGTAACATAAAGTTTTGTCACCGGAAAGTAGAAAAACTATCTGTATAGGATAAAATTAATTAGCGACATGTGGATGAACAACGAAATGACGCGTGAAAATGAAGCCATGTAAGATATGAGTCAGCAAATAGTTGGAACCGGATACAAATATGTGATCCGTACTAAATAAGTTCCAAAGGCATTGGAACCGAGAACAAAGATTTGAAAAGAAGATATCGGTTGGAAAAGACGGCATTCAATGAGTAGTCGTTACAAAAAATCTTTGTACTAATGTCAACCGTTATGCAGCCATCAATAGGGATTTTATTCTCATTCAAGAACAAATTGATTTGGGGATCTTGTTTCCCTGAATAGAGCCATAAATAGGAGAATTCGAATCCATTGTAGGACATGAAATATTCGGTACGCAAAAGCTAAAATCAGCTTTTATTCTATCGAATCGTTCTCTTTCTTTTGTTCTTAACATTGTTCTTGTTACTGCTACCGGAGAAGCTAAATTCACAACCACGCTTGTATTTCATTTAAGTTATTTTGATAATCTTATTTCTGTCTCTATTTATTTTATATTCTTGGATCTAATTAATTCACGTGTTTATAAACTACGTTACAAATTCAACTGTATCGTTTTACGGGTAAACATTTATGTTTCAAATGAATGATGGGTAACTGTATCGTTTTACGGGTAAACATTTATGTTTCAAATGAATGATGGGTAACTGTATCGTTTTACGGGTAAACATTTATGTTTCAAATGAATGATGGGTTACTTGTTGATCTCATAAACAATTCCGTCTTACATCGTTTAAACGTCTCGCCACTTTTGTGTTTGATCTTTGCTCAGTCTAGTTCGATCTAATAACCAGTACAAACAAGACTTATTCTTTCACAAAAGGGGCGGGCAATTTGATACTTTTTATATGGTCCGGGAAGACCAGGGACCTATTTGTTATGAAAAGCTTTAAGAGTTCTTTTTTTCAAAAAAATAATTAACTCGTAATTAATCTCTTATACGTCGCTTCAGTCGTAGAGGGATCACATTGGAGTGTAAAACTTTTGTTAATTTATTCATCCATATAGAAGCCTTGCTAGGAAACTATTGATGCGTAAAAGAAATCGTCCAACCCAGAATTCCCAGATTATATATATTTACACTGGAGATTCAAATCCAAAGCAAAGCAGTATTGCCAATAATTATCAGAGGGACAAAAACTTTAAAGCATTTTCTGCAGGAATGGTTAGAAACCAGCTAGCCATATAAAAGAATTTGGACAGAATCATGTTTACTTCCAAAGCAAGAAACTGAAGATAGTAACAAAATGTTGGACTGTCCAAAGAAAATAAGGGGTAAAGAGAACTCAGATGGATCTCACAAGTATATATTTTTCATCTATAGGCATCACAGGATGTATTTGCTTTTGCAATAGAGGAACGTTTGGTTCATAAAGTAGGTATGCAAAAATTATATTGCAAAGATCACACAGCCTTACATTTAACAGATCTGGAACCACATACATTACAAATCTATGGTGAAGCCACAGACGTTTGATTTTCCTGAAGCAAGTATAAGCGGGTAGATCTAATACATACAGCAAAAGCACGACATATTAACAACCTTAGCTTAGAAAAACAGATACAACTAAATTTATTTTTATCGTGCAAATGAAAATGTCTTAACCGTAGCATCGAATGGGATCATTGCAGCCTTTCTCAGCAGACTGCTTTGAACCAAAGCGACCCCCTTTTGCAAGGTACTGTTGATGATACTCCTCAGCTCTGTAAAATTTCTTAGCCGGCAAAATCTCAGTAACAATATTCCTGTTCAGAAGCTTCTGCTGTCTGTCCCGGGATTCTAAAGCTGCCTTCTCTTGCTCGGGTGTGTAGAAGTAAATTCCAGACCTGTACTGAGTGCCGACATCATTCCCCTACAAACAAGAGAAGCATCATGTTAGATGCATTAAAAGAAGGATAAATCACTGACCTGTCAAGCAAATTAACTCAACTTAAGAATGTAAAGTTCATTATAAGCAAAATGTCTAATGATGATACTTGACAGTAATGAAAGGTTGCAATAGCTACTGAATGGCAGTGGGAGCACCAGAGATGGTGACAGATGTCTTTTTCATAGCCTAACCAGAGAGATGATGAGAGATGTTTTTTTTCATAATCTTGGATCCAATTATTCAGAAGTTCTCATTTCACAAGAAAAGGACTTCCCTGGCCATAATTTGGACCTGGCAACTGAGAGCAGAAAGCATGTCTGTCTGCAGTGACAAATCTCCTTGCTTGGCTATTAGGAGCAGACACATGCAAAAATATGGGGTTAAATGAATAAAAAAAGCACAGGAAACTTACACAAGCATGGGTTACTAAGAGTGCAGGAACACTGGTGCCAAAAAAGGGATGAGGGAAACAGTCAATGGAACCTATCAAAGAAAAGGTATGAGGGAAACAGTCAATGAGAAATGTTGCATGTCTAAGCAATCAGGTAAAAGAAACTGGGAGGAAGATTCCAATGATGTTCAATGGAAAAATGTTGCTTGTTTTAGCTATCAGGTAAAAAGAAACTAGGAGGAAGATTCTGATGATGTTTTCATTTTTGATAAAGAATCACAATATTGATACTAGTAGAGTGATCTCGGTTTAAAGGAACTCTCGGTTTAACTACTCCTCGAGACATTTCTGCTGATGGGCCCTGCCCTTCTTTCTTTTCTTCGATTTTAGATGGTAATAGAGGAAGTCCACAAAATAAAACCTAGAGAGACAGAATATCTAATATCGATGATCAACTAATAAGAGATAGCTAATGCTAATCAACAAATGTTAAAGATGGAAGTATTTAAGGTCACGCGTCAGAGAAGATGAAATGAGCTTTCTGCTTATATTTTATGCCTTGAACATGTCAATTAAAAAGCTAATGTGATTTTATTGATATGAATTGCACCAAAAGAATGTTGGTCACAAAAACAACAATATCTCAGTCCCAAACAAGTTGGGGTCGGATATATGAACCCTCACTAACCATGTTTCTCCGGAGGATGTTGAGGTGAAGAAACTATTTACAAGCGAGCAAAAGCCTATTTAGAATATACTCGTCCAATCGAATCCATCATTTTATTTTCTGCCCATCACCACTGTTGAATCGAGTATTAACTCTTGAATTTTTGCCACAAATTCTTGATATGTTTCCATATAGTGCATCTATTTGGCTTTACAACCTCTTTTGCTTCAATTATCCACTAATATTTAGCATTTGGGACATTTTTCCACATTGTAAGATTTATCCACAACCACTTAAATAACATGCAAATATGTTGCCAAGCCTTTTTGGTCCCACATAATTAGAACTCCGCTATTGTCTCCTCCTTGGAGCTAGAGAACCAGATGCATAACAATCACAGTATATGCAAAACAAGCCAGATTCATATTTAAAGATCAACACAAGGCAGAAGCAAACAGAGAATTCTGATGATGTTCACCGTGATTTACTTTAGCGGGTAAAATGCTAATTGGGTACATGACCACTCTCGTCTATATAAAAGTACGTCAAATTTCTTAGACATTTTGCAGCCTGAATCTTCATGGTAATAATTTCTGAAGTAAGCACCTAGGAGGGCGTTACCATCAATGAAGACCTGCTCTTTAGTATATTATCAACAAAACATTGCCATCAAAATATTAGGTGGCATTTGTTTACAGAACATCTTTTGAAATCTTGCAAAATGTTTTTGCAAAAACGTGTTTGTTCAATTTTTTGGAAGAACTTTTTGCAAAAACCGTTTTATGAAGTGGTTTGAGGGTGTTTTTCAAATAAAAATCACATTTTCGACAATAGGTTTCACCCTTTTTCACTGAAAATTTCTTATTCAACTCAAAAAGTCTTGGAAAAACTACAACTATTCAAACAACATTTCTTTAAGAACAATTTCATTCCCAAACACATTCTCTTTATGCAAAATTGTCCATACGGCTTAAATGATGTCCTAGAAGGTTATTGATAGGGGCAAATAGTTTTATGCATTAGCAGATTTAAGAAGAAGTCGCTGACTAAAGCCACAAAAACTAAAGAGGAACCCTCAGTCAATAAAGATTCCAACTTCATTTCTAGCCTTCAATCTAGAAATCAATTAGAGTAGAAGCCTCAGGTAAGCTTATAATTCTAGCATTAATTCATCAAAAAAAAAAAAAAAGTTGATTTTTATATGGACTGATCAAAATTTTCCCAATTACTTAAACTTATGATTCCAGAAATAAACTCAGCCAAAAACAGAAAACCAAATACTATTATACATGAAAAAAGAAGCCGAAAAATTGAAAAGCCACCTGTCGATTGGGGGTGGTGGGGTCATGACGAGACCAGAAAACATCAAGCAAGGAATCATAACTACATTCCTTAGGATCATACTGAACCCTAACCACCTCCGAATGATTAGTAGTACCGCTACACACATCTTCATATCTCGGGTTATGTAAATAACCCTGCGAGTATCCCACTTCAGTCTTTGTAACACCCGCCACTCTCTGATACGCCAATTCAACGCCCCAGAAACAACCCGCTCCGAACTGTGCAAACTGTTGACCCGGGGAGGGTATGTCATCGTCGGGTCCTTGAGGAATTGCAGATGAGTCCATAGCGGGTGATTGATCAGTTCGAAAACCGAAACCCAGTTTGTTGAGCCAACTGCTCATTTTTGGGGAAGAAGGGTGCGTTGAAGTTGAAGGGAAGAGTGAAATTGGGAGAATTTTGGTGAAGGGAAAGGAAAGTGTGGGTTTTTTGGAGAAGGAAAAGAGAATTGGAGAGGGGTTGGTTATGGCGGTCTTAAGGAGGAGCATTTGGGGCAGTTTCGTGTTGAGATGGATTGGTTACGTGTGTAAAGTGTTTAATGGAATAAGTATTGGGATGTGATGTGACAATTAAGTTTCTTAAATTACTTTTATAATAAAGAACAATGAATTATAACGTTGCTTTATATTAAGTACTCTTTGTTGTGGCAATATTTTTTTTAATTCAGTCCAAATAAATTAGCTTATACTTCTCATTTTATTTTTAAAAAGAAATAGTGATGACCACATAAATATTACTTATGAAATATTTAAAATTAGATTTTCAAAAATTTTATAGTTTACCTTTTTTTAAAAAAGTAATAGCGTAAATTTTTGTATCCACTTTTTTTAAACACTTTTCGATCGTTTTAATAGACGACAATAAAATTATTATTATTGCTCCGAAAAGCGAAATCGAAATATAGTGTTGAATTAGTAAATGTAATTATTGAATTCTAAAGCATGTTTATGACTATAAGTTTTAAAAAAGAAATCATGTCATATCAAATTTTACCACGTAATTGAGACGGAAGGAATATTATTCAACGGTGGATTTCCCCCTGTTACTAATTTAAGTGGCAACAGCCAATAGAGAATTCTGCTGACAGTGACAAACCACGAGGAAGAGCTAGTGCAATTTTTTACCAAAACAAATATGAGTCATCTGTAGTTCTATTTCTACAATTTTTAAAAGAGAATCTTGTATGTATGGAGTTGAAAATTGTGTCCAAGCAATTGTTTTTTAAGACCACCAAACCCCACTCCTCTGTAGAGAAATTTTTTAGTTCATTAGCGAATACCATGGATTATGAAGAAAGAAGTAACAACCAGGTTGGCGTGAACTCACTCTTCAACCACGTGACCAACGGAGGAAGACCAGCTAAACCTGGGACCAATATGTGCGCACCTCATGAGAGACATGACTCAACAATTTGACCCAATACAAGCATCAAAATAATTCTATCTACCAATACCTAAAAAAGTGAAGAAATCACCTAATATTTTTTTCTGTACTAAAATTTAAATCCTAATCTCCATTTTCATCCCAATTCATTGATCAGCCTTCCACTTTCTTCTTAGTAAATGCTACTAAAGGTAAGAAGAATCTAGAAGGGAACAATAATAAAAGGACCAGTTGTTTAATGACACCATTAAGGGACGTCGTATTAAATTACGCTTAACTACCTTCCATGCCACAATTGATTGCGAGATTATCATGTCTGATGTTACAGCTCTGCCGCGTATGTAAAACTTTATTTTAAAGGGCAATAGGTTGCTTGTACGAAAACTAGCTTCCATGCCAAATTGATTGTGAGACATGTTAATTCATGTCTACCATGGCAAAAAGATGTTAATCCTAACGCTTAACTCAACACATCACATGATAAAATAAACCCTTGTTGTACTTAACACACAAACAACGAACTTGGTAGAATAATGTGATGGACAAACAGCCACATAAATAAAGGGCAAACTGAAAAGAGAGAAACAGGACCTTTCATCACGAAATAAGGTCTAAAGAAGATTGTTCCTCCGACAATTCATCAAACACCACCATAAAAGATTCACTTTACTAATCAAGTATACACCATTAACACATAGGAAACATGTAGCTAACCAGACTTCCAAAGTGTCAGCTCGCCAGAATGAAGACTTAAATGGGTTTGATCTTGAAATGGAGAGAGATGAGAGAGAACACAAAACACTTGAGGTCCTGCAATGACAAGACAATGAGAAAACAGGTGTCAGTCAAGTGGTGCAGAAGAACTCCAAGATGAAGCGCAGCGGTGCAAACCAACATCAATTGGTTTACCAATGATTCAAGCAAGTGAATACAGCATCTTTCCCAAAAATGCATTTAGAGCAGCGGAAACCGCATGTTTTATTTCTTCTCTTTTTCGGGTGGGGGAGGGGAGTAGAAAACAAGCTGTAATTCCTTTTAGAAATCTGCCAAAGCAGAAACTTTCCTTTAAAGCAAGAGATTCCCCCCACCCCCACCCCACACACAAACCCCCAAAATTTCCTTTCCTGATCCTCTAACCTCCTTGTATTTTTAATATTATCTGCTTTGAAGGCTTGAAGATTGTAATTGAATGTCTGCAGCCAACAAGGCTTTTGCATTACATTACATTTACTAATCCTCTTATAATACAGATGACTTTGATTATCATTACCAGACGAGAATGTAGCTTCAAAAAAGCCTGAGCTACAGCATTTTTTAAAAGCAAGCTACGTGCTGACTTCCAGTCGTGTACCCTAGTTAGAGCTAATATCATGTTTGATTCTAAAGCTATTTGATTATTTCAATTAAAAGAATATGACTCTGATAACAAATGACGAGGAAGAATATGGCTACTAATAAAGAACATGGAATTCATTTGGAGCTTTAATCGACCATTCAAGGGAAGACGGGAAGAGGATAACAATATATTCGCAAGTCTCATCCTGATGTTTCTATTTAAACCAACTGCATTTTTAGGGGTTGTTCGATTTATATACCAGTTATACAAGGATTATTTATGCAGTAATTAATAACGAGGAGATTGTTATGCAAAAATCAATATTGAGGAGATTGTTATACATGAATTACCATGGGCACTTTTATCTTTCAATAACTTATTCCCCTTATTGCTAATACACATATTATTATTCCACATTCAATTTCGCATAAAATAATACATAGATTTCAACATGTCTAAATGTCAAGTATGATAGAGATATGACAATTATACCCTTCAACTAAACAGGCATTCTTGACGACATCTCAAACTCCATAGATGCGTGAAGACACCCCCTCACTCTCCCTCACACGTTTTTGTTTTCCCTCCAAATTTGAGAACATCTATTCCAATATAAAAGTTGACTACTAGAAAGAATGACAAATAATTATGTACCAACCTAGCATAGGTAGTCATGTTATGTAAGCTTTCCTTTCCCTTGTATTGTATGGAGTTTTCTTTCCCTTCTCCTTGCCATTATTCTCCATTGTAGTGAAGAAGAGTTAAAGGTTAAAGCTAGTTCTCATTAATTCCCACCAAACACATTCTTAGCCTTAAAGGGGGAGAGTTCTCATTTATTATCAATTCTACCAACCATGGAAAGAGTTACTGAAGAAGATTAACTTACAGCACTATCACGCAATAATCGTTAGAGATACTTTACAAGATATGCAACCTCTCTGGTCGTTGAGGGAAGTAATATTTCTATTTTTAGCCTAAGTTAATTCTTCTTGGTGTAGTCACTGATTTGACGAACAATGATATTGAAGAACATAATAATACTAAAAAATAGGTCAAAAATATTAGCATACCCAATAATTCAACCAACTTATTCAAATCTAAATAAGGTGTTTGATTTGACATGAAACATGCCAAAGTCAAAGGATTTAGTGGTGTTAGAAACAATTAAAACCCAAGATGGTGATTACCGCAAGTATGTTATGTTCACATATGACAAAGAAGGCAAGACTAGTTGCAGCGAGCACAGTAAGAGAATTGAATGCAAGGGAAGAGTTAACATCGTGACAACGGATGAAGGAGTGTATCGTGTAAGGAAGGTGTAAAATATGCATAACAATGAATTATACCATGATATATCTGGGCTTATGGTTAGGCATAGAAAAGTAATAAAGCCAATGAAGAGCACTTAAGGCAAATGGTATTAGCCCGTGTCAAAATATGCAAGAATATTAGAGTGATGAAGGTTTTTAATAGCGGCCTTCAGCAAATGAGATGCTTGGCAGGGGATTGTAAAAAATTTATTTTTTTGAGAAACGTTCTGCTTTGCAGGTTTCGACAATGATCCTTAGAAGGCTTCAGATGGAAGAAGGGGATGCTGAATTTAGATGAATTTTTTTTTGTAAGATGGAATTAAAGGATGTTGAGTTCTATCATTCCATGGAGCTCGACACTGAAGGTAGATTAAAAAACGTAGTTTGGATTCATCCACAAGGAAAAGATGCTTGTGCTGACTTCTACGATGTAGTTAGCTTTGATACCACATCTAGTGAATAGGTATAGTATGTTGCTTGCATTGCTTGTAGGATTAATCACCATCGCCGATCAATTCTCCTTAGGGTTAGGTGTGCATTAATATTGTACGAAGATGTTGAAACGTATAGGTGGTTGTTTCGTACTTGGATTTATGTTACGGAAAGCACCCCTCTAACTAGTATATGGATGCATTGATGCTCTCACATTTATCAGTTGATATACTATTTGGAGGGATGCTTCCCATAGCACAAATCCAAAAAGGGAACAGCTACTTATAGTTTTAACATCTTCATGGTATCAATGCACTCCAAAGCAGAACTGGCTAGCGATGGTGATCGTCTCTAGTGTCCAACTCTATGGAATAATAGATCTCCGCATCCTTTCATTCCATCCTACGAAAAAAATCATCATGCACTCGGCATCCCTATCATTCATCAAAGCCTCCTATTTGTTAGAATAAATTTTTAAAATCCCCTGCCAAGCATCCCATTTACCGAGGGCCTCCATTGAAAACCCCCATCATTCTAATATTCTTGAATATTGCATATTCTAATACTTGCCCATGGCAGATCTAGGAGTTCAAATTTTGAACTTCTGGGTACTTCATTGTCTTTAGCGTACAGTTGCTACTAGCAAACTTAAGGATGAGGATATTTTGCAAGTTTTAATTAATATTATCATTAAAAAAACTATTATTTTCACAATCATCTTCAGCATGAGATGAATAATAACATTGTTGTTTAAAGATTAAGAAAGAAAGAGACAAACATCAGCCACATGAAGCGATAATGAGAAAACCAAGCCAAACACAATTCGCAAGCATAATTAGAACCATCCTCCCACTCCGTGATCCAGAGAGTTGCATAATGAGTAGGAAGTATCACAATTTGCTTTTTACTCCCTTTTTTTTTCTTTGTCAATCCTTTTTTTTTTCATTTGTCTTTCGACGGTAGTTCTTTTATCTCCTATCTTTTATTAAAAAATTTTATCTTTGACATAGCATACTACTGCAGCCCGTTCTACTTCCCATTGGCCCATCAAACCAGCCTTTCCTATTCGCCATTC